CCCTGCTCCCCGCCCCCGTGTCCCATCAACACGTCAGGCACATCACGTTTAGCACAGAATGAAGTTTGTCTTAGGACATTCTCTCTCTCGGGGCACCTGGGTGGCTCAGTCGGTTAAGCATCTGACTCTTAATTTGGGCTCAGGTCATGATCTCCGTGTTCTCGGTTGGTGGGATGGGGCCCCACGTCAGACTCTGCACTGAGCACGGAGCCTGCTCGAGATTCTCTCCCTCTCTCTCTCTGCCCCTCCCCTCAAAATAAATAAACGTTAAAAAACCCATTCTCTCTCTAGGTGTTTCCTCTCTTGGAAGTGACATCACCACACACCCAAATATCCGGGCCAAAGACTCTCACCCTTGACGTCTGCCACTCCCCAACCCTATACATTTAATACGCCCCAAGTCCCATTGTCTGTCCCCTTCACGCTCCTCAAATTCACTCATTCTTCCCATCTGCATGGGCACAGCCTTACCTCAAGACCCATCACTTGTCATCTGAATTGCTAACTGCAGATTTCCTAACCGCCTTTCCTTCTCCTTCTAATTCATTTCCCACCCTGGGTTGAAATACGCAGGCTCTCCATGCTTTGGGGGTAAAATGCAAACTATTCAGGCCCATATACCCGGAGCCTGCAATCTGGTAACATAGAATCACCAGAGTTCAGGCTCTGAAGCCAGAACATCTGGTTCAAATCCCTGCCCTGCCTTTCAGTTAACCATGTAAACTTGGGAGAAGTCCTTAACCTCTCGGTGCCTTGGTTTCCGCATGTGTGAAATGGGTGTAAGAATAATAACTCCATCATGGGGGTATTGTGAGGATTAAGTGAGACAATACATGCAAAGTGCTTAGAAGAGTACCCAGCATGCAACACGTGCTCAGTAGACAGCAGTCTGATCTTCATTGCTACCTGCCCGTGGCTCACCTCCCACCCACCCTTCACTACACACTCACCTCCTTTCCTATGAACCACTTGGGGTTGACCCGGAGCTTCCCACTCCGAGGACCATCCCCGTTGTTCTCCGTTTGCCTAAAATGCCAGATACGTCTGTCTTCCTCCGACAGGCACCGCCCCAACTCCCCAGCCCTTTGCCTGGTCGGTTCTCCTTTGTCCTTCGGGGTCCAAGGCACTGTCTTCCGGGAACTCTTCCAGGAAGGCTTCCCTGATTTCCCAGTTTAGAAGCAATACCTCTCTTCTGAGATCCCATAGCTAATTATCGGGCGTTGTTAACATTGGGTTGCCTATCGCTCTTGTTATTCTTTAAGGGCAGAAATCATGAGTTACCCATTTTTGAATGCGAGGCACACCTAGTAGGTCCTCAGGAACAATTATGTCTAGCGCTCACAGCAAACCTAGCATGTCGGGCAAAGCCCTAACTGCTTTGCATATATTATCTACTGTCCTCCTCACAAAAATCGTATAAAATAGGCATTATTATTTTGATCTCCATTTCATAGAGGAGGAAACAGGGAGGTCAGCATTTTGCTCAAGGTCATACAACTGGTAAGTGGAAGAACTGGAATTTGAATAGAGGCAGTCTGGCTAGAAAGTAGTGATCTGAGCCAGTGTCATGTTCGTTTTGGTAAACAACGAGTATATCAACGAATGAACATGTTCCAAAGGCACGAGTCAAGTAAATAAAGTGGGCTTGGAAGCCGAGGGGGGGCTGCCTAACACCACGTATGGCACATAATAGGTGCTCAATAAATATGGGTTGGCTGAATGAATGAGAACAGACAATGGACTGAAATTGGATGGGTGAGAGAGAGGCCAGAACTGCCACTTGTACGAAAGGCGACAGTGTGGGGGTCTGAGAAGGCCCCATTTATCCCCACGTGCTCCTGCGGTATGAACGGCCTACCTGCCCAGCTCTTCCAAAATTTTCGTTGCTAAATATAATATTTAA